AAAGTTATTAACAATATTATTGACCCTATGCTGTACTTTCATCCCTGTGACTTAGTTATTTTATAATTGGAAGTTTGTACTTCTTAATCCTCTTCACCTGTTTCAAATAGCCTCAAACCCCCTCCCCTCTGGCAACTGTCAGTTTGTTCTCTGAATTTATAAGTCTGTTTCTCTTTTGTTTTGTTTTTTAGGTTCCACAAATAAAATCATACAGATTTTGTTTTTCTGTCTGACTTATTTGACTTAGAGTAACACCCTCTAGGCCCACCACCTTGTCACAAATGGTAAGATTTCATTATTTTCTATGGTTGGATAATATTCTATCTATTTATCTGTCTATCTATTTATCTATCTGTCTATCTATCATCTATCTATCTATCTATCTATCTATCTATCTATCTATCTATCTATCTATCTATCTATCTATCTATCTGTATCATCTATCTATCTATATCTTCTTTATCCATTCATCTATCCAAGGACACTTAGGTTGCTTCCATATCTTCGCTATTATAAATAATGGTGTGATAAACATAAGGAAACATATGTCTTTTTGGATTAATGTTTTTGGTTTCAAGAAATAGTCAGAAGTAGACTTGTTGGAATGTATTTTAATTCTATTTTTAGTTTTTTGAGGAAATTTACACCGTTTTTCACAGTGGCTCTCCACTTTGCGTTCCCACCAACAGTGTAGGGGGGCTGCTTTTTCTCCACATCCTTGTCGGCACTTGTTAAGTCTTGTCTTCTTGATAACAGCCATTCTGACAGGAGTGAGGTGGTATCTTGTTGTTCTTATTCTCACTTCTTTGATGATTAGTGATGTTGAGCATCTTTTCATGTGTCTGCCATGGCTTTAAATTCAAATAAAAAGTTCTCCCTATTAGTGATTAAAAATTATGGTAATGTTGATGAATATATTGCTTGTTTGGCTCTGGTGAATTGTCCCCTTCAGGACAGGGATTTACTTGGAGTATTCATGGAGAAATGACGAGGCACAGAAAACTCTTTTCCAAATTTCACAATGAAGTCAGGTCTATAGAAAACTGGAACATTTTCCAAAATCCAACAATGGTTCTAGGACACAAGAGCATTTCTTGTGACCTGGCTATTTTGCTGTCCACTCAGAAATGGGCACCTGTGAATTCTTGTTCTGGGAATCCTGGTTCAACTGGTTGTGACCCGTGTAGACAGGTCACATGTGTGTACTGTAATAGGTATGAAATGTATTTGCTGTACTTAGTGTAATAGGTATAAAATATAGAAATGACAAGTATAAGTTTGCACTAAAATCATTAAAATTCAGGTTGTCAAGAAATGGTATCGTTTCAACTTCCAGTTGAAAAAAGAGATCATGGTTGTTCAAAGGCTTAGAAATTTTCCATTTAGGTTATTTCTAAGTATACCCATTACCTTATAAGAATCAAGTGGACATTCACCTCTAGCTGTAATGTCAAGCATCTCATTTAATCTATAGATCTTGCCTGAAATGACTGAATGTTTATGGCCCTCAAAATCCCTTTTTAAAATCCTCACCCTCCAAGATGATGGCATTAGAAGGCAGGGACTTTAGGAGGTGATTAGGTTATGGGACCACAGCCCGAAGAATGGTATTAGTGCTGCTATAAAGGAAACTCCAGAGAGATCCCTTGCCCTTCCTCCTTGTGAAGTTATGGTTAAAAGGTGCTACAAACCAGAAATGAATCAGAAATTGCATTCAGGCTCTGAATCTGTTGGTCCCATGATCTTGCACGTCCCAACCTCCAGAACTTTGAGAAACAAATTTCCATTGCTTCTAAGCCACCCAGTCTGTGGCATTTTGTAATGGTTGCCCAGGTAGACTAAGACCTTGCCCTGGAACTAGTCTTTCCTGCAACATGGTATATTTACAGTAATAAAAATATTGGGCTCAGAATCATTTTATATTATTAGCTTCTTTATTGCATGTAATTTTACTTAAATTTTCTGAGCCTCAGATTTCTATGTTATTTCAAATGGGTTGATAATTTTCATTTTGTGGTAAAGCAACTACTAGTAAACTTTTATAAAAAAAGGCTTGGAATGTATATTGTATTTGCATCATCATCAAGCTGTGTCTTGAACAGAGAGGGGGTTAATTGAATTTAACCGCTTTGAATTTAATTTAGTTTGCAGTGATTGAAGAATAATTTTTTTCTTAATCCTAAGATTATGAACTCCTTAGCTTTCAGAGACTCCTGAAAACTAATTTCAGCTAGAGTCAGTTAGGCATGAGGGAGGAGGGAATTATCAAAAGTAGTTACATAAGCCATCCCCTTTTCTCACCCAATCTACAAAAGGTCTCTTGAGATTGGAACTGTGGCCCTCAATAGATTCTTTGGGCTGCCCAGTGTCAGCTGATGCCAGCAGTTGTGCACAAAGGGACTTGCCATTAGGGACAATGACATTAGATCTTACGGACAGCCATCTGTCTGTAAGGTGTGTGCTATGTTTTCTTTTTAAGCAGTCCCTTCCTGATTGAGAAAAATATGCATGTACACTGGTTTCTTCTACCAAAAATTATACTTTAAAGATCAAAGATTTTTCTACACACCAGGTGGAAATAGAGTGGCATACAATGCTCTTGGGGTGAGCACCACCTCTCACTTGTGATTATTACTTGGAATGAAATATGTAAAGGACACGGGATGTGTTTTAGTGTGGGTTTAGGGAGCTATAGTATTCAAACAGGGATACATCAACAACCTGCTGCTAACGTTCTATTTGAAAATAAATATTTCACAATGCATCAGTGGGAACATAAAGCCCAACTTTATAATAGGAGCATAGAGAATTTTTTTCATGCTCTCAATGATTTTATTCAGAGAAGGATTATCTTTGCTTTGTATTCAACAGTGGTGATTCAGCAAATGTGCAGGCTCCCTGAAGGAGGGGGTTGAAACAGAGAGAGGTGGGAGGGAGAGGCACTTTGAGCTGGCATGTGGTATTATTGAACAGATTTAAAGGTATTTTAATCATAGGCCTTTAGTGCTATTTTAGAACATGTGTGTGGCTCCCTGGTTTATCGCCTCCTTTCTGCTCCAGCTGCTGAGAAATAGGTAAATTGCTCTAGGAAAGAAGAATACAGTGTATTTATGAATCTTGCATTTTTATCCTAAGTGCTCTGAACAAGCAAATTCACAAAGACATGAGCCTAGAACAGTGCCCCTTTGCTTAGAGAGCTCTGTCTGGAATAAGGAGAAGCCCTCTGTCTTCACATGAACTTAGCTTTAGAAGCCCACGATAAGCAGCTACCTGCACGTTCAGGTCACTGATTTGCCACTGCCTTTATTCTCCTGAAATATGACTTTCTATTCATGCCATCCTGGTTTCTATTGTACCCTGTAATTTGTGCTTAATAGTCTCGATTGACATTTTGAAGAACAGACAGATTGGACTATTTTCTTTCTGCAATCAGTTTAAAGTGTTTGATCCTTCCTAACAGCTGCGAGACAATATTTATTCTTAATCAGCAACTGATTTCATGAGTCTAATGCCATGTTATGTATGAGACTGGGTATTAGGCCATGCAGAACTGTCTAAGTGATGAGGCAGAACTTCAAAAGGAGGAGAACAAGGATGTTCTGAGAGGGATGCTTTGAGGTCATAGAATGGCTCAAACTCTATTCTGGAAATATAACAAAATGTGAACCAGGATTGGGAAGGAGACCAAAAATTTCCATTTCCAGGAGGGTCAGTCAAATTCACAGGCAGGAGGAATATGTGTAGAGTTTTACCTGGCGATGGTTGTGGGGGAAGGGGGTTGTGGAGTCAGTGCAACAGGGAGCTGAGGGAGAGGACTAAGAGGTAGCCATTTGTTTGTGAATTTCGCAGTATGTGAATTTATCAAATACATTCCACAACTTCTTCTTGTTTTTATATTATTATTAAGAAGCCAGAGGCAAAGGTTTGTGTTTTGTACATTTGGAATATGTGTATTGAATCACCTTGAGGTCTTATTAAAAATGCAGAATCCTGTTTGCATCCTCTAGACTTATCTGGCTCGAAGGTCAAGGGTAGAGCTAAGGAATTTGCATTTTAAATAATCACCATAGGCAATTTTGATGTATGTAATTTAAGAGCACTGTTTAAGATTTCAAAAGGAAAGTGAAGAATCTAGGGTTCTTATTGCCCATGATTAAAACTCATTACTAACCCACAAATATTCAAGAATAAAAAACAAGGGGCAAAACTTACTTTAATTTATTATTGTGGAATTTGATTATAAGTGGTGGAGAATGTAATTAACGTTTGTTTATTCCTTAATATGTGTCAGATGATTGAAACAAAATAAATTTTATTTAATCTTTATTACAGCTCAGTAAGTCAAGTTAATATTACATTATTTTAAAGGTAATAAAACAGGTGCAGAGATGTTGAGTAACTTACCAAAATGACATATATAATAATTATCAGGGCCTTTTAACCTCTCACTCTCTCCAGTATGCTTAGGGAAATTTATCTACTATGACTTCTATCACCCTGCTGCATAAGCAAACCTCAAATGTGTGTCTGCAGCCAGCATCTCTCCTGGGTGCTCTCCAGCCATCTGCCCATTGGCCTGTTTGACATCTTTGCCTAGATGTTTCCCAGCCACCTCAAGTTCTACATATTCTCAATAGTACTTGCCATCTTCTTCCCTTATCCTTTTCTCTTCTACTATCCTCAAGCTCCACCAGTAGGCCCCACCATCCACTTATTGGTCCAAGCCAAGAAGTCATGGAGTTCTTTTGATTGAAATACCTAAATATCTCCTGATTCTCTGCCCTTCTGCTACTCCTTCTTTCTAATCTGCTAGTTCATCATCTCTTGTCAGCTGTATCAGTATTTGCTGCACAACACAAATTTCCCCATAACCTAGTGGCTTAACATAGAAATAATTTTACTTAACTCACAATTATGTGGGTACCCTGGCAGTGCTTTGGGTCTTGACAAGTTTAGCCAATCTCTACTGGGCTTTCTCTTGTGTCTGTGATTTGCTGGTGAGTGGGCTGGTGGCTTAATGATCTACCATGGCCTAACTCACATGTCTAGTGGTGGGCAGGTTGTCAGCTGATGGCTGGATGGCTGTAGGCTAGGATGTTGAGGTTCTTTTCCACATGTGGCCTTTTTCTTCAGCAGGCTAGCTTGGGCTCATCCACATGGTAGTTTCAGGATTCTAAGTGCAATAAAAGAGAACAAGCTCTGTCAAACAAGTATTTTACAGGCTTTTGTTTCCATTATATTCATTAATGTTATCCACAGCCATTGAGTCACTGTTAATACACTGCCACAACAAAGGTTGTGCATAGAGGGAGAGGAATATTTTTTAGCCATTTCTGCAATCTATCACACTGGAACTTTACAGTAGTGTCTTTAAAAAAATTTTTTTTTAATTAAGGCATTATTGACATACACTCTTATGAAGGTTTCACATGAAAAAACAATGTGGTTACTACATGTACCCATATTATCAAGTCCCCAGCCATACCCCAGTGCAGTCACTGACCAGCAATGTAGCAAGATGCCACAGATCCTATAGTAGTGTCTTAATGGTTTCCTTACCACCACACTTGCTCTCTCCAATTCCATTTTTATATAACAGTGAATGAATGGTCTGTCGTGCCAATATTCCTCTTAAAACTTCACTGGCATACTATCGTGCTGAAGGTCTAAAGTCCTAACTCCTTAAAGTGACTTATAAGGTACTTCAGGATTTGTGTTCTACCTCTGTGGACTTTGACTCTCTAGTTATTATATTCTCGTTATTATACTTAGTCTCTCTAACTGGTTTGCTTGTCTCTCTCTACTTGACAACTTTCTTAATTTTCCTGCCTTCCTTCCCCTCCTTTGTCTAACTAACATGTTTGTACGTTTGTCTGAGCTTAAATATTCCTTCATCAGATCTCTCTTGACTCCTCTGAACATTAGCACTTAGACTTTATTGTCTTTAAATGTTCAAAGTCTGTCTTTCTTGTAAGGTTAGGGCCATTTTCTTTCACCTAGTTCTGAATACCTAACATACACCATAGTGCCCAGTATGTAACAGGTGCTCAGTAAATGCCAGTTGAGAGAACAAACACCCTGACTTGTCTGATTTTACAACTCTTCTCCTTATGGCACACTGCAAATTAGACTGAATTTGCTGATCTTGTTTCTTTTGCTTATACATTTAATTTATTTTGTGTTCATGGACTAAAAATGATTTTAGTAATATAGGGAGAAGGCAAATATATTTATTTATTTATATATAATAATATAATTAATTTTATAGTATCAACATTATATGATCATATACTTAATTATAATTATATATAATAATATATAGTATAAAATTATATGTAATCTATATGTCACATTATTTTACATATTATTATTATATATCTGGTAAATTTATTGAATGAAATTTAGTAAATTTAGTAAATTTACTTTGCTTCTTGTGAAGAGGTCAGCTGTAAATGACATTTTATGTTATGTTTTTCTTGTATCTTAACCTCCTTAGAAAAAAAAAGTAAGTGAGTACATACACGGGGAGCTTGGAGAGACTTCCAGCAGTCTGAGAGCAGTCTTACCCATGTTGCCTCAGCTGTGGTCTTTAGCTGCATGGACATTTTTCTGGGGTGTGGCATCATGAAGACTGGCTGTGGTCTGCTCTGGGGAGGCCTGTCAACTCTAGAGGCCATTCTAAAAGTAATGGAGAACCTCCTTGGGAAGTACAGGTCTTCCTTATATATATATATATATTTATATAGGGCCTTCCCTATAGGCCTGTCTTCCTTGACTTGTGTCATTTTGGAAGTATAGTTGTGATTGCAAACTTTGTGTTGGGTGAAGTTATCATAGCACCTCTGATAACTCAGCTCTTACAAAGAAAAAACAAAAGAAATTTCAGAAGACTTTTCCGGATATTGAAAAAAAAGCCAAACAAATAGGTCTTCTTAAATCAAAATGATCTTTATTGCCCTGGAAAACTGTCATGTATAATTTGTATACATTTAGTTGGAAACCTATAGACTGGCTTGTAGTCTCTCTCCATACCTTTCACCTTCCAGTATTTCTCAGTTATCTTATCTATTAAGTGAAGACACTTATAACTTATACCATGTAAGACTATTATAGACCTAAGCTGAGATCATATATTTGAAATAACTTTGTATACTATAAAGTGCCATTTATGATTTATCAAAACTTTTTTAAGTACATATATTCCAGACCTTGTGCCAGGCCCAAGGGAGGTTATAAAAGTGAGTAAGATGTAGTAGTCCTTGCTCTGATCGAGCTGACATCTAAGGGAGGTGACCGATGAGGGCACACTTACCATACAAGAGAAACGAAACTACAGCATCACAGATGGGGCAGCAATTAATTATGTCTAGAGGGTTCACAGAAGAGACGATATTCCATGTGGGCTCAGGAGGATAGGTAGCATTTCACCAGAGGGAGAAGACAAGAAGGGCGTTCTAGTCAGGTATCTACTTCTAATCTGTAACAGGAGAGTCAGTTCATTTTTAAAACAATGGTAAGTGGCAGGAAGATATCCAGTAGGACTATAAAAGACGTATAATTGTGAGTTTTATTAATTTTGGGGTTAAGAGAAGACAAGTGAAAGTCATAAAAGAAAGCAGTATCAAGGACAACTGAACAAGAACTAGGAGAAATGAAAATTCAGTGTGGGAAACAGGGATCTGTTACTTTATATATACCTGAAAAAATGCTTGAAAGCTTTAAGGCCACCCCAGAAACTTGATGAATCAGAAGAGGAAGCTCTTCTTTTACTTAATGATCAGGTAAGCGAATATGTCAACCTAGAGATTAAAAAACAAATTCAAACCGACTAAGAGTGTTTGGTCAGGGATACATTCAAATACCTTTTACGAAACAACTTCAACAACAATTCATGGACTAGACAAAAAACAAGGGAGAAGAACTGAGTTCTAATTGGAATTATTGTCAACACTTTGTGTCAGAGGTGTAATGGCCCTTTACTCCTTCATACCCCTTAAGACCTTTAGCCAGGGGGCGACTGACTCAGATGAATATTCTGATTTAGCTTTAAAGACAGAAATATGTGCAAGACAAATTCAAGACAGAATCATTGCCAATTTTCAAACATATTAAGTTGAAGATCAGAAATATAATTTAAATTATCCAGAAGGATGCCATTGAAAATGAAAGGGAGTGCTATTAATAACTGTCACCAGGGCAACAGATGCAAATGTGGGTTTTCCTGGGCAAACTGTACCATGACTTTAGTCATGGGAACTGCACAGTTAAACTTGTCAAACAGGACTAAACAAATGCTTTTTGTTCTCTAAGGAGCTCCTGGGGCTTCCCGTCTTGAAACACCAGTTTTGGCCTAGGTGGACTTTATTATCTAGGTGGGGATGCAGAGGGATAAGGACCCGTATAGTATTGTAGTTAACAGCATCGACTAGTTTTAAATCTGGCTAATTAACTCTGTGCCCTTGGGCAAGTTGCTTAACTTCTCTGGGCCTCAATTTCCTCAGTAAATTGGAGATAATGTTGTTGTGAGAATTAAATAAGTGAATATATGGAAAGTTCATACAGCAGTGTCTGGCTCATAAGATTATATAGATGTTCATTATTTTTATAATTATCCCCATTTTACAACTGTAAAAAAAAAAAGGAACAAATAAACAAATTGTATTCAGGGTTAACCTGCGATTTATGTTCACTTTAGGACAGTCAAAAAGTGATCCAGTATAGATTGAGCTGGAAACCTGGGCCTCCTCCAGAAAGAAGTATTTGAGGGGAGAGAAGAAAGAGGTCAGATAAGACCCTATTTTATTGGTTTAGTTTAAAGTCTCTGAGGTGTCCAATATGGGGTCAGAACACTACTAGACTTGTTACTCCTATAGGTGTATCCACAAGACAAATTAGGTTTAAGAAAACACTAGAAACAGCCAGAACCACCATTGTGAAGTTGACATGTATGTGCTTATCTTTAAGTTTTGACTATTAGGCTGAATCCTTTTCATAATTGTAAATAAAAATAATTATAAGTATCATTCTTGAGCATTTCCTGGATGCCAGGCCCTGCCGTAAGCCCTTTCTAGAACACAAGCCGTATGTTCTAATTCATGTAATGGCAATAAATACTTGTTTTCAGTACTATTATTGCTACCATTTTGCAGATGAAGATATTGAGGAATGGAGATAGTTAATGATTTATTCATTCTTATATTTTACCAATGCCAGATACACACCAGGCACCTAATAAGTATTTATTGAATTGATTTTCTTGTAGGTTTATTAATATTTTCTAGAGGAACCCACCTACATAGTTGAGTTTATTCAGTAAAAAGAAATTTTGATAATCTATTTAGAAGAAAAACATTTATAACTGCTTTGCTTCCCTTGCATATATTTGTTCGGTATTTTGATTTCTGCAATTCCATGAGAGTATACACTTATGAACAGCATTTCCAATAACCTTTTAAGTACCACCATAGTAAGGAAAGAAATGTTAAATGAGATTTTAAATTCTGGAAATCAGCCTGACAAATGAATATAGACAATTTTTAATAAATCACTTATATTTGGCTTTGGAAAGCATTATTGTGGATATCTTTTCTCCAAATATTTGATTTCCTAATTATGTTTACCTCAGGACGATATTATAATTGCTTGCATTTTCTGAGCACACACCAGATGATAAGGGAGGGGCACAACCAGGCAGTTCTTTAAATGTCAGTAGGCCAGTCTGGGGTTAATGGTGTGCTCTGAATCTTCCACACAGTGGAAAATCTGCACAGGAAAACCCTCCAGTGAATTACATGCCTGTGGTAAAGTACAGAGAGGATGCCAAGCAGAGAAAGAGGCAGCAGGAAAGACATCAACAGCAGAGAACAGAGTGGCCATTACAGGCAATTGATCAGGGAAACAAATAGAAGATGGCAGTAAATTTTTATTCTCCTCAAAGGGCTATTTTGCAACGGTACTTTGTACTCTAAATGATTGGCTACAAGAGCAGACACCACATTTTATGTTCTGGGTCAGCTATAGCAAACAATAATGGGGGAGAAATAGAATTCCCAAGGATATGATAGTAACAATGTGTGTTTATTTGCAGCATTTAAAATTTAAAGGGCTGAGCTGGTGAAATGACGTTTTTCTAAATTTCAAAGTGACCCAGTGGCTTGTCCCTATTCTTTTCCTCATCAGGCCTGTTTGATAACTGAAATCTGAGCACTGCTGTAATCTCATCAGCCTTATTTCTTTAAAAAAAGGGGTCAGCCTCAGTGACCCATCCCTCCAATAAACATTCATTGAGCAGTAACCATGCAGGAAATAGTCTAGTGGGGGAGAGAAACCCTAAAACAGAATTAGGGATCATACCGTAATTATAATTATGTTGAATGCCACAAAGAACAGTTATGCTGTTTTTCAGAACATTGTATAGAAGGACCTAGTCCAGACTGCTGTGTATGTTGGGAGGGAATGGAGGGCTGAGGGAAAGTGCCACCGCATAGCTTACACATGAAGAGACTTGAAGAACAGGTGGGACTTGGCCAAGTGAAGGTAGGGTGGGAAGAGTCGGGGTATGTGCGACTGATCTTACTCTAGTCTTTACATTACAAGTGTTTTGCAATTTCAGAGTTAGTCAGCAGCTGACTATTTCTTGTGTGACTGACTGGAGGGAATGTAATAGAAATTGGAAACATCACACAATAAAATAGGGCACTGGATTGCCATATGACAAAGCCCATCAGCAGAGGTGTGAGGTAGAATTACAGATGTGTGGTTGGATAGGTTGCCTTTTTTTTTGGCTATGAAGGTGCCCGAAGAGGGAAGGCCGAATGCATGGATTCAGCGGAGGTAGAAGACAGCAACTGGGAACTTTTAGACTGCGCTCCTCACGGTGGCGCCATTATAATGGGCAAACGGGGACCTCCCTCTGGACAGACCGGGAATGCGTGACGCGACTTCTAAGATTGCTAGATACAAAAGACCCAGATGGCAGATATAAAAAAAATCCGTCTTCAAAGACATCCTAAGGGGAATTCAGTGTTGCTCTCAGAGAAAGGATTTTAAATCTACACAACCTAAGACTACAGTGCCGCTGATAATTTCAGGTATTTATTTTTATCGTAATATGGGGAGAGGTGACTTACCAACTTTTTTTGAGCTTAAAGCTGGATTCTGTTAAATCACCTCTGAATAAGTATGAAATTAAAAGTAAAAATTAGTTAAAATCCCATGTTAAAAAAAATATCTGTGTGGGAGGCAGCAGCTTAGTCCGGAAGATTTGAGAGGAAAGCTCTTACCGTGTTCACAACCCACACGATCAAAAGGTGTAAATTCTCAGGGAGGGAATTCTTTGGCAGCAGCGACCTATATAATCACATTTTCCTCAGAGCGTAAGAATTTATGTTCAAGTTTTTCACATTGAGATGTAAAGAATTGCTCTCTAATTATGAAAATGGCTAAACATTTTCCTATACTATCCTTTCAGAAAACAGATTCTTTGAGCAATGATTGAATCCAATGGTTAAAGTCATGACAGGAAAGGAGGGACTCGCTATGCACACAGATAGGAACATGTGCGTGTTTAAGTGTGACTGCCAGATACGAATATGCATTAAATTATTCTATTTTCATGCAATCAGATGGATTAAAGGAGAAAATCCCACAAGTATAGCTCTCTTGTAAGGATCATGGCTATATTGACAGTTCCTTTTCAAGTACAGATTCCCCCACCTGAAATCGAAGAAATCAAACATAATGGTTCCTCTGTTGACTGTTGATTATTAGTCTATAATTATGCTTTAATGCTAAATTGACTTTCCAGAGTTAATAATATCACTACATCCAGGAGCCCAGATTATCTGAGTTCTACAATATGCCAGCTTGATGTGGAAGGAGATAGGAAAAGTTTCATAGTATTAATATATGTTAATAGCAGTATTAATATTTACTGAGCATTGTTTGTATGCCAGGCAATATTCTAACATCCATGTGTTGTCTCACTGGCTCCTCAAAAAACCCTACGGAATAGGTATTATTTTTACTTCCACTTTACAGATCAGAAAAAGGGAAATTATGAAAATTGGCCAAAGTCACACATCTCATAATTGTGATCACCCTGGCAATGTGACTTCTCTACAGATTCATTACATTAGAAGTGAAACATGTTTTATCTGTTTTTTTACTTTCAAAACACATCCATTTACAAATTTATCCTAATTCTTCACTAGTCAAGTGTTCTGTTTTGCTTAGTGACACAAAATTTAGTGACAGCAGAAGCTAAATGTTATTGGCTGATACTTATGGCCCAGTCCAAAGATGTTATTTTTGCTTTCTTACTCTGGTATTGTCAGTTTGTAAGCAAATTATACTCTCTTTCACCCCCTTTCTCATCTTCCAACTTGAGAAAATCACAAACAGATCTTTAGATAATTTCCTTGTAGGTACAGAGCATGCAGTGTGTCTCAAATGTATTTGATCACAAACCTGTCCATCTTTTTGGGAAGCGTTTTGTGCAGTGTTTCCAAAAACTGTTGATAAATGCTGTTCTATATTTATTATAAACATTTTTTTAAAATTTCCTTTTCATCTCTCCAATGATTATAGTCTGGATTTTTTCTTTAATAAGACTTCTAGAATTTCAAATCCAATGGCTTCTTCTCAGATCATATTTCATGACTTCCCAGTAAGTGACTTTATTGACAATTTCGGAATTGCCTTGGAACATTCTCCTTTTTGGGTTTCTAGTTCACCACTCCCCTCTGGTTTTCTTTTTTCTCTTCCATCTTCTCTTCTTGGTTTTCTTTATTAACTTGTCTTTAAGTCTTAAATGTTAGTGTTCCCTACAGTCCCGTCCTCTACTGTCATCTCTTCTGTCTCAATGCTGTATTTCCAGTTATTTCTTTAGACTGCCACATTCATTCTTACTTTATGAATCTTCCCAGACTCCTTTAAAAGCAACTAATTCTCCCCTTTCTCTGCCCAGGGCAGTAAAATGCTTAGCATGTTGCATTATGTCTACCTTCTAAATAGTCTTTTTTTGTGAGGAAATGAGGCTCTGTTAGCTTATCAGACAAAGTTTACGTCTCACTCATACATGTGTATACGGCAGATTTTGGCAACTCCCAAAGGCACCTGTCTGCTATTCCAGTCAGTGAGGCTCCATTTCCTCAATAGAAGAGATTTTCTCTGACTTGCATGGCAGAAGAGAAAGATTAGAAATTTAGTAGAGGCCTGCTAATCAAGGTTTGAGCTGTTCATCTTCCATTGGTCATGACCAACCATAGGGTTCTGTCTGTGGACAGTGGGACTAGGAAGCTTTGTCTTTCGTGAACCCAGGAAAGAAAGAGGAACACCTGGTGAATAGTTTAGCACAGCAACTGTACTGTAATCATTTTTATAGCCACAGTACTTGACATAGATTTTGACAATGAACACCAACAAATGTTTCTTAAACTGCATCTAATATAGTTCTAACGTGTCATTTTGCAGATGGAAAAGATGAGCACCCCCTCCACTGCAAATGAAAGTGACTTTTCCCACATTACTTAAGTAGATATTACTGAATAGAACAAGAATCCAAGTCTATTGCTCTTTTTCTATACTTGCTGTTCATGGAGGAATTTGCTCTGGAAGTTATATGATTTTGCTAGGTTGAGCATTAATCCCATTAAGATTGTGAGTTTTTGTTTGTTTACTTGCTTGTTTAAATCTTGGCTTACACAGTTACCAGGGATGTAGCATGAAATATATCAGGAAAACAAATCAAATACAGTAGAAAACACTAAAAATAGCTTATCAGCAAGTTGCCAGGCAGCAACAGTAACTATTTCTGGTTCCTAAATAGCCCACATATGTTTGACCAGTACTGTACCTTTGCTACATAATTTTTAACTGCATAGCAAATGTTTTATTGACAGAAAAAAGAGAAGGTTAAAAAGTGAACCACAGTATTATAAATTATCAACTAATGTTATGTTTTTAGTTCTTTACTGTAGTTTCTGGAGCAGTAATTCTATATATATATATTCTGGAATAGTGAATTCTTAGCAATTTGAGACCTGTTTTCTCATTTTATCTTTACTAACTTTTTAATTAGTAGGTAGGGATCTCTCAGTGCTATTTTATCTATGAGAATATTAAGATTCTATGGCTACCATATTATCTTTTGGGGGGGCAATCTTAATTGCTTCAAAGCTTGGTGATTTCACTTACTTTACATCTCAAAGAGTTCTCCTCAAAACTCCATTGAGATTCCCTCTTAAGCTCTACCTCTACTTGTGAACCTCTATTTGAACACAAAAACTAATCTTAAATGCAGTGTTTCTAAAATAAACTCATGAGCTTTTCCCCTTCTCTCAAGCCTCCTCAAACAGCTGAAAGTGACAGAGGCTCCTGGTTGTGGCATGTGGCTGATTTCTAGTCGATGGAAGTGAGCAGAAGTTATACGTATCCTTCTCTCCTAAGTTTGGTCCATACCAGCTTCTTGGCCCCAACAAACTAACAAATCAACAACAGACAAAAACCCCTCCTTCCTAGTTTCCACTTGGCTGGAGATGACTGTGCAAAACTTAAAAGCCATATTGTCGAAAGCTTTTATCAGCCTGAATTCTTAAATGACTGAGGAAAGAGCGCTTTCACCCTCCTGGACTGTTTTGAAAACAAGAAATGAATGTATTCCATGTTGAGTCATTGGTTGAGACTATTGTTACCGCAGCATACTCTATTACAGAAACTTCAGTTTACTCCCCTAGGAAATGCAAATAACCATAGTTGACCCTTGAACAATGTGGAGTTTAGGAGTGCAATCAACACTTGCACAGTTGAAAATCTGTGTCTAATTTTGACTCCCCCCAAACTTAACTGCTAATAGCTTACTGTTGGCCGAACTTTACCAAAATCCATACAGTGGATTGGCACACATTTTGTATATTATGTGTATTATATCCTGTATTCTTACAATAAAGTAAGCTAGAGAAAAGAAAAATTTTTTCAAATTGTTGCAAATCTCCAAAAAGTTTTCCAATGTATGTACTGAAAAAATTCACATCTAAGTGGACCTGTGCAGCTCAAATCTGTGTTATTCAGGGGTCAACTGTACTTTATTTTGAGAACTAAATGAGATTAATATAAACAAAGCATTTATTTTAATACATGATTCATAGAAGACACCTGACAATTTTTAGTTTCTTCTCTTCATTCCATCCTTCCATAAGTAGGAAGAATACAATCCTTTTTCTCGCTTCTAAAAACTTTGATTCCTTTACCATTTTTTCTACTTTCTACTGGGCAAAGAAAACAGTGATTACGAAACTGGAATGTGTTAATTTTCTGTTGCCAAATCTACACGTGGTCATGGATATAAATACTCATTTCTCATCTTTCCTTCTGTCTCCATCCTATTCCTTCTGCTTTTTAATATTGGCTCATATTTATTAAGTGATTAGTATGTGCCAGACAATATATGAAGCCCTGCATGAATGATACTGTTAGATCTCATCAAGAAGCGCTATTTTATACCTCCATCTTGCAAATGAAAGAATTGGGATAAGAAAAATTGAGCAGCTTGTCCACAAAGCAAGTGTGGTAGAACCACCATAATCATTAAACTCTCTCACTCTATTTTCGCTTTCTATTAAGCATGCTCATATCCCATATCCCTATGATCTTGAGAAAAACCACTGCCTGAATTCTTCTCCTTCATTATCTCTATTTGTTTCCTCTACTTCCTCACCTCTTATTCTCCAAGCACCTGGCTTGTGTCCTCACCACTCTCATGATTTGCCTATTTTCCAGTAACACGTCCAGTGGAAACTGCCTAGTTCTTATATCACTCAACCTTCCTGAAATATTTAGTTCTGTTAACTAGTCTCCCTTTGCTGAAACATACTCCTCTTTCTGTTGTATCCTTTTCACTCCACACTACTTTTGTAGGACTCTTTCTCAGTCCAGCTTTGGTGATTCTCTTTTCTGTGACTATTCCTTAGATACTTGTGTTCCTCAGGGTTTACCCCAGAAAATTCTTTTTTTTTTCAAACTCTAAATATTCTGCTGAATATCATTCACTCCTATGGCTCCAGTTACAAAATATATGCCTCTCATTTGTATCTTTTATCTAATACACATACTACTCTTGAATTCTCTAAACATTTCATCAGTTTCTATGTGACTTTCTCAATTCAGATACTGCACATTTCTGAAACTAAAACTCAGCATTTCTAAAACTGAATTCACAATCTCTCTCTCTAAATATCTTTCCTTTTAATATTTCTCCCTCTAAACCTCCCTGTCTCAACCACTTGCCCATTTGTCCAAGTCGGAAATTGCCGATCATTTTTGGATCTGCTCCTCCAGTCATCCCCCATGCCCAATCAAGTTTGAGTCTTATCAATAAACAAGAAATTCTATTTCCTAAATATAAATCAACTTGACTGGTGTTTTTCATTCATCATTTCTGACGATTTTCCATTATCCAGGCCTCCTGAGTAATGAATGCTGAAGCTACTTTATTTGCCATTCTCAGAAGATAACATGCCCTTCATACTTTGTAAAGGCACTTACCTTTTTCTCCCTTTTATACTTGGAAAAATCTGTCAGTCATCAGCTGTCTTGTCATTACTCTTGTGAGCCCTGTGAATTTTTTCCTGAGGCAAAGTTGGCTGCTGTTTACCTACCCTCCCTCCTGTACGACCACAGAACTTTGCACCCCTCTCTTTTCTAAATATTTATTAGAAACTTTGTAACTATTAGAGTATTTATCTCTCCTGCTAAATTGTGAGATCCTTGAGAAGAGGAAACTTGTTTTCATTACATGAATTGGAAATTTTGTTACATTTCCTAATTTTAAAATACTTTGCTAAAAGACGAGTTCACTGAATGGCCATTTGCCAAGTGATTGGCTTCACCAAATTTATCAGTTAATTCCAAACAGTTTTAGTAATTGAAGCTATTTGAATGTTTAAGCTGGGAACAATGATGAAACAGGACTTCCTGGAAATGAACATTTTAAGGTTGATATATCACCTGAGAACCGGGCAAAAAATCCATACATGCTAAAGGTTAGCAAAAAAGTATCAGTGTTAAGTTTTAAAAAACTCTCAAAGGAAAAGCTCTTTACTAACCTTCTTTTTTCCCCATTTTATATGTTACAGGATCACTTACCTACCTCTGAAATATTTTCAGTTATCTTTGAATGTCATTCTCTATCTCAGTAAACTTAAACATTTAAAATTTTTTTGCCGTTTCCTCAAATGGCATACCAGCTTTCCTTTTATATATCTAGCATTAAAGTTTAAATTAAACTTTTGTGAAGACTAAACTATAAATTGAAGCTGACAGACACTAAAATAAGTCAGAATTTTAAGTTACATTAAAAATTAATTAGATGTAAGGTTGAAATTAATTTAAATTTAGAATTAAAATGTAAATTCATCCCAAAGAATCAGAATTGGGTAAAAATATCACATCTCCATGCAAATCAAAATGCAATTTCTGCCAAGGAACAATTAGGGAATCTTGACTTGGTTGGTAGCAATTTGTAATATGACTCCTGAAACACAAAAAACAGTGAAAAGAAATGGCTACAAGGTGTTAAAGAATGGCACAAAATAGACTGATTAAAAATACTGTAAATTATAACAGGTAAATGCTAAAAGGGTGGCTGAGTACAAAATGATGTTTTAAAAGAAGTGTAAAATGCAGTATAAATTGAGAATTCCTCTAAGAAAACTAAAAGTTTACTTACTGCATATCAACTATTTCATATTCAGTCATCAAATTGAATAGTCCTTTTAAAACATAAAAACATATGTTAAAAAGCATATCTTTTGTCAAATCAGTCCATTTGATGGGTTGGGGGTCAGGGAGTCAGCCATTCAGTGAACAGATTCGAAGTGATTTTGTCCCTCCTTGGTTGCGTGGAACTTGCTGCATTCACAACCCATTCTCCAATTTCCACACCTTTCTTGTGCTAATTAAGTGACTCTTCCTCCTGCGGTTTTCTGGCATCTTTCTTAAGTGACGTCTGTTAATTCTTTTACAACTAACTCAAGCTCCTCTGGTCAGAGGATTTGTCTTCGTTTTACCCTCTTTTCCAGTCTCATCCTCTCCTATCTGGCCAATAGATATTTGTCCTCCTCCAGGCTTAGCTCTGCACCCTTTCTTTTCTCTGTTCTTTCCCCAGGCAATTTCATCTTCTCCCTGACCGTCAGCACGATCTGTGAGGAGATAATTTGCCAGTCTGTGGCTCTGGACTCAACCCTGTCTCTGGGGCATACCCAACACGTGCACTTAGATGTCTCAGAAACTCCTCAGATTCAGTGTTGCCAAGATCACAGGTAAATATATATATTCCTCTCCTCTCCACCACACCAACTCTACAAATTTGATCTTTCTTGGAGTTCTCTGTTTAGGCACCCACTTTCCCTCTGATGGTACAAGCCATAAGCCAAGGAGTCATTGACGTTACTTCTTCTTCCTCAGTCTCTGAATTCGGCTTATCACTGGTTCGTCCATTTATTTTCCATATGTATTCTCACCAGTCCTTTCTGTTGTCACCATTCTAGTTCAAACTTCCATCATCTCTTGTTGAAACTACTATAATCATTTATTACCTACCTTATGGGTTGTAAGGATTACATTTTTACTCTTAAAGGCTTAGAACAGAGTCTGACACCTACTAAACACTCACTACGTGACAATTCAATAAAAGTAGTGTATTTTTTTTTGTTTCTCATCCTGCTTTCTTAAGATTAAAAAAAGATTTAAATATATTGCTAACATAAAAATCAGATTATATTACTCTCCTGTTTAAAACTTTTTAATAGCTCCCTATTACTCTTAAAGACCAGAATTCCTAACATGGCCCACATGACTATGCAAGTTTTGGACCCTGAACACCTTTCCAAAGACCTCTCTCCTTCTTTGGGCTCCAGCCACTGCCCTGTCCAGACCCTGGAATGTTCCATGCCATTGTCCAGGCCAGAACCTTTGCCTACCCTCTTGTGCCTGCCTCCTAACACCTACCCCAATGCCCTTTGCTATGAAACATTTCTTCCTTTTTTTTTGTTTAGTAGACTTTATTTTTTAGATTTAGGTTCACAGTAAAACTGAGTGGAGGTACAGTGTTCTCATCAACTCCTTGTCCTTGCTTCAAGGCACAGCCTCCGCTGCCTTTTTCAAACTCTTTTTAGCCTCCTTTCACTAGATACATTTCTTTTTTTCTTGGCTCTCACAGAACCATATTCTGTTCTCCAAACACTCCTCTGAGACTGTAATGCTTTGGTATTATTATTATTTGTTGCTTGTTTTTTTCTTAACAAGGCATAAACTCCATGAGGGCAGACTGTGCTTATAATTGCTTCTCATTTACTTCCCAAGATAAGATCCTGCACCTGGTACGTAGCAGATCTTCAATCATTCTCCATTGTGGTTGAATGATATACATCATATAATCCTATTTAGTTTCTGGGTAATATGCAGCTCTGTGTAATTACCATTAAAGGAATTTGAAAACATAAAATAAAAAGTAACTTGTAATTTTGCTATTTGTTTCTGTCTCAAACTAATTTAGATTTTGCATTTAAAATTATTCTTGTACAGTAGCCCTTAAAAATTAAGCAGATATTACTCTAAGTATAGTTGTTGGAAATAAAATTATTCTATTATCTATTAAATATAATAATTCCTTTCTGCTTTCATTCCTCCCTGTTTTTAAAAACTGAGGGTTTCAAGCCTGTAAAAATGTGCTTATCTTACCTGAGAGGTAATCACCACCACAAGGGGGCAGAGACAGACAAATATTCAGTTCTTTTGACTAAATTCTGTATCACGAGAATGTTATTCTTTGACAGAATAAATTTGGGCCATTATTTTTTGTATGAGATTTTTTTTCCATTTGCCATTCAGTTTAAAAATCTATATGTACTATTACCCTTTCATACAATGTATATGTTTTAAAAGATGAACAGACCTCCATTATACAAATTGCAGGCATGAAATAACTTGTTTCTTCAGTACATTAAGTAATTTTATAGAGTGATAAGAATGAGATGCCAGACATTGCAGTAAATTGTTCATTGGTAATTTTATAGCTAGTTTCTATTCTTCTGTTTTATATTTACCCCCAAACCCCACCCCCCATACACATATACCCACATATGTATATATACTGATTGGAGGAAGAGGAGATTTTATAAATTAAAAAAAAAATCATTTAGGGAATATTTATGTATTAGTGGCACAGAAATAAGAAATTGAGCATTTTTTGCTAACAGAATTTCACAGTATACTTTGCTTTATTGTTCTATCTTTCATGCACTAAATACATATTCATCTTCTTTACTTTGATTAACAAATACACATCATGAGCTCTATGTAGCCAGCTTGACATAGTTCTCCTAAACAGTTGGGTAGGATTTTATGTTAATGATTTAATTACATGACTAACTTTTATTTGTTGTTCTGAAATTTGGTTTGCTGTAAATGAAAAACACATCAAATTTAGAGTTGAATTTTAAGAATGTTAACTTTAATGACAGTGAAAACAACATGACTTATATGTGAACAGATGCATTGGTTAGGGAGAAGTTTGGAAAAGAGAGAGAACTTTTTTAGAAAAACTAGTAACAGAGAATGAGACTTTAATTCAGACTGGGAGCCACCAGAGAACCTATGGGCAGTTGGGAGGCAAGTCAGCTAGACTCAATGCTTTCTCTGCCTCTAGATCTGCTCTCCTTGGCTTCTTGCTCTGGAATAGCACCTCCTCCAACCAGCACCCTCATTTTTTCCCCAGGTGGTGCAAATAACTGGGCATATCTAATATTTTCTTATCTCTTGAACCCAAGGAAGATATTGCTAGTAGACCACAATATTTCCCTCAGTACCACTAAATCTATCAGTATCCTTCTCAGAACAGCTCCTCAGAATAGATCAGAAACCAATGCCCACTAATTACAGTTTGTTTATGAGGTGAAACATATTGACATCTTGGTCACTTAACCAAAATTGGGGGCTGGTTAAGTCAGACCAGGGCTGGTGGCTTTGGAGAATATGATTTTGACTTGACTATGATATAAAGATGTTAGTGGAACAGAATGTCCTTCCTCTGTACAGATGGTGACAGAAAAATCAATCATTTAGTCTGAGGTGAGAAAATAAACCAACTAAAAATTCTTATAATTTTATTACTCCAAGTCAGGCTGAATTAGAATATTCATCTATAAGCACCATAGAAGAAGGGACATATTTATTTTGTTCATCACTGTATCTCCAACAGTGGATTTCATCAACAATCTGACATATACCAGGTACACAATATTTACTGACTGAATGAATGAATAGTAAATAATGGCACATACTGTATTTTATGTTACATGATCTTCTCCATTAAATGAGGTAGTTTTTCACTCTAAGCTGTGACTGCTTTGGGGAAGAGGTCCCAGAGAAATAAAAGGGAGATTTTTCTTGAAGGGTAATCTATGGCCTTTTAGAAAGTAGCAGCAGAAAGATACCAACAGTAAAGCCTGGGAGTCCTTCTGTGAGTGCTTTGTTTAGTCTGTTTCATTTCAAATTGTCAAGGAATCAGATAATTTAAAGGATTTGGAATGGAGATTCCTCATGAGTCAATATGGATGCTATTAAATCAGACATAAAATATTAGACATTAGTACTCCTCTGTGACTCAATTTTTGTGAATATCCAGCTCTTAAATTTTTGAGGAAAAATCTTTCAAAATCTTTCAAGGATATTTAATGTGGTTTCCATTTCTAAAAGTAAATTAAATTCCAGGTTAATTTCTTCTGTACACTGGTATACTGAACTAGGAATAGAAGACTCAAAACTGAAAATTTTAGTATTCATGTGACCACAATTAAGCATGAATAATTTTCAAGTTTAATAACTAGTATCATAGAAGCAGATGGCCTCTGGGCCATCTGTTATTTGTTGACACATAAAGGAAGAGGTTATGAAATGCTTCAGGCTAAGTAATGGAATAGATAAATAAATCCTTCAGTTATTATCTATGCCAGTGCTGTCCAATAGAATTTTTTGCCATAATGGCGATGTTTTCTATTTCTGGGGGCCAAAACA